TGCAAGGCAGACTCCTGCACCTTGCACCCCCTGTTTTTAGTTTGCCAGGGGCACCACCCTCCCAGAGGTCCCTCCTTTGCAGGCTGTGTCAACATGCAAACTAATTCCTTCCCTGCAACTAAACAGGATGAACAGGCTCAATTAGATTAGCCTGAATTATATCGGATCAGGAGCAGCTGCGCTGGTGAAGTTAAATCCCGGCTGGACTCTCCTTGGGCTGCTGGAAATCACTGAAGAGCAAGCACAGCCCTCCATTCCCTCCAGGGACTGCTGCCTAGGCATCCCCACTGGACTCTGGGGTGGCAGCATTAAACCAGAACTCCCAGCCTGTCCCTAGAACTGAGCGCCTCCCTCCCGGCCAGGCTCACGGGTGGAACGTCCTGTGCAGAGAGCAGCATGACCTCATCTCACATACTGTGCCTTTGATTGCTGCCCTTTCCTTTGCTCTTTGGTTCAAACTCGCACACTGTGCTGAGCAGACAGTCTGTGGATAAACGGAGATTTCCTGTGCATGCTTGAAAGAAGCATTAGCTCATTTTCCAGTCTCTTCTTTAGCACTGCTGTAAGTGCCAGAGCAGAAGCAGCAGCCTTCTGTGAAAGCTCCACCTAGCCCCGAGGAAGGGGCCCTGGCTCTTACAATAACCCCATTGTGTAGGGTAGCCTGTGACCTAGAGGGCTCTGCTCCCCGTATGGGGGGCTGGGCAGAGAGCTCGGCACACCTGGAGCTTTCCCGGCACCTCTATGGGGACTTGGGAACAAGCGCCATTCTGTGCTGATTTCCATGGTAGACATGGAGCCGGAGGACCATGTGCCATATTAACAACCCACCGGGAGCCCAAGAACTAAGGAATGGGAAAAAAATCATGATAATTCTGCTATGGAAAGTAGGTTAAAAATAGGCTTCGCTCCCATGCCCACTGCTCACCCAAGACAAACAATCGCCCCACCCTGCCGACAACAGAGACAACCCTGCCCATCCCCTGACACTGCTGCCCACAAGCCCCGCAGTGCTGGGGGCCTGAACTCACCAGAGCAGGAAATCCACTTCCTGACACATTGCCATCCCCACTGCATGCGCCAGGCTGGCATCTGTCAGAGCTACTGGAAAGCTCCTACTGCCAAGCCGCAGGAAATCACAGTCATTGGTACTCGTGGGTTAACACCCCGTCTGCCCTGCAAACTGCACCTAGGGAGGGACACATTGGCCCCAGATCTCTGAACTCTGCCACTGGCAGCCGCCCCCCTCCCTTCCTCCCGCTGGGAAAGTCAGGGGCAGGGGTCTGTGGGACTGGAGGGGAGGCAGCGCTGAGCGCTCCATAGTCAGACCGCTGCTCCATGCTCTCCTGCCAGCTTACTTCCCTGCTCAGCGAGTGCTGCTTCCTCCGGGCCAGTGTGGGAGGAAGGGGTCACAAACAGCCACGGCAGAGCGCTTAGGCCTTCTCATGGCACCCTGGCCCAGTCACTAAGGGACAGAGCACTCCTGGCCTGCAGGACCACCAGACAGACAGACAGTGCAGCAGCTGAGATTTCCACCTCAGGGCTCCAGGGAGGAGAGCAGGAGCTGCAGTGTGACCCCTGGCAGGCAACGGTCCCTGCGCACTCAACGTCCAACATCTGACTGTTGGAGTCTCCCATCCTGGGGCAATGCTACAAGGGACATGAGCTGAGCTCTTGGCTCACAAGTAGTTGATTGTAACAGAGGGGTAGCCATGTTAGTCTGAATCCGTAAAAAGCAACAGAGAGTCCTGTGGCACCTTTAAGACTAACAGAAGTATTGGAGCATAAGCTTTCGTGGGTGAATGCCACGCCAGGCGTCTGACGAAGTGGGCATTCACCCATGAAAGCTTATGCTCCAATACTTCTGTTAGTCTTAAAGGTGCCACAGGACCCTCTGTTACTTTTTAAGTAGTTGATTGTGTACAGCATTCAGCAGCATTAGCAGGGAGCTTGGCAGGGGATTGATACGGGAGCTGCTGACACTGAACTGAATCTGCACCCCCAGATTGCTTTCAGGTTCCAGTGAGAACATGCTCAAAGCTCCTGGCAGATGGAGTGTCAGAGCTGGAAGGCCAGTGGCTGACTGCGTCGTGCTCCTCGCTGAGAGGGTAAAATTAGCAGCCTGGCTGATGTTCCCTGTCTGGAACACCATTTGTTTCCAAGGTAAGTAACGTAAAGGCAGTCTGTGGTCTCAGCAGCCCCAGATCCCCAGCCAATGGCCTGGCTTTATGCTTTCAACTAAATGACTAATTTATAAAGAGTCGGCTGCTAGCTGTGAAATGGCCTCTGGCCAGTCAGCTTTACTCACCAACTTTACTAGCATAGTGAGACTTAAAAGAGCCAAAATGAAAATGCAGGAACTGATGTCTGCCCCTCGTTGTGGAGAGGGGAGACAGACAGACAGATACAGCCTAGGCTACACTGGAGTCAGCACTACAGACCAGACAGGCTTTAAAAATTTCTCCCCTCATCATTTGCAAAACTAACCCCCCCTGAGGTGGAAAACGCCCACTCCCTGTGTACGAGCTGAACGCCCAGCGGGGGCCTGCCACAGACAGACATTTCCAGAGAGCAGGTAGCTAGCGGCAGGGAATACTTTCAGACATAAGAGCATGTGCCTGTTGCCCAAGCCCCTCTAGACCCAGATGCAACAATTAAACACAGCTAGAAACACTCCCCAGACTCCCAACTCTCACTGCCAAGAGCACAGAGTGGCGTATTCCGTAAGTACCAACCCCACGCCCCTATTATAGTCAACAAACAGAACCTTCCGTCCCGATGCCCGGAGCACTTCATGAGGCCCAGCTACTTAGATACGGTCTTGCCCCAAGGAGCTCATCTCTTCAGTGGCCAGTCCCAAGAGAGAAGAGATGGCTGAAAAGATGGGAAAAACACTGCAAAAAAATTCCAAATTGTTTCTGGTTTGCAGGGGCCATTTTTCATTTTCCACAACATTTTTCACAATATTGTAGCTGAATTTTTTATTGAAAGTTTTTGACATTGTAATGGAAATTTTTCTTTATCCATAAGTGTACGGTTTCAGTAAATGAAACATTTCCACAATAACTTGAATAAAACAGTTGATAAAAAAATGCAGAAAATTGTATGAAAAGCAATAATGTCGACAATTTTTTGTGCTAGGTTTTGCTTTAGAAAAGAGCCCATCTTTTGACAAAAAAAGTGCGTGAAAAATATCAGTCGACTCCACAAATATATTCTAATCCCGTGCGTGCAGTCTGGCTCGCTCACACACACACACACACACCCCGCTTGTCCCCACTGATCTCAGAGCAGCACAAGGGTGAGGAAGGCTGGTATCACTATCAGCATTTCGCAGATCGAGAAGGTGATTTGCCATGGGTCACACAACAAGTTAGTAGCCGAGCCAGAATTACATCAGGGTCTTCAGACCCCCAGCCAAGCTGTCTGCACTGCCTCTCTCTGTTTTATTCTGATTGCTAACCCCAGACTGGGATCCCTGCTGCAGGCAAACTGGAGAGCACATACGACCTGTCCCTGCTAACATGTGGACGCCGTGCCAGTGGCCCATACCAGAGCACTACACCAGTTTTATGATTTGAGGCAGTTTCTCTCTCATTGCAGCAGGGGCCCCAGGAGCAGAGAGACAGAGTCCAGCTGTTGCCAGACACTCAGACTGGGTTGAAGCAAGCAGTGTGACCTCATGCACCCTCCCCACCCCATTCCCCGCACACTCTGCCATGGCAGAGTGACGTGTGTCACATGAGTCAGTATCAGACAGCTGCCAGGGAGACTTGGGTCTCAGCAGGTAAGTGCAGCAGCAGATACCCTGGAGCTACTGTATTTCCCACTTTCTCGAGGATCCCTGGCTCTGCACTCAGACCCAGCTACTCACATGCTCCATCAACAATTGTAGAGAAGTATCAGAGGGGTAGCCGTGTTAGTCTGGATCTGTAAAAAGCAACAGAGAGTCCTGTGGCACTTTTAAGACTAACAGATGTATTGGAGCATAAGCTTTCGTGGGTGAATGCCCACTTCGTCAGATGCATGTGAAAATATGCTTGCATCCGACGAAGTGGGCATTCACCCACGAAAGCTTATGCTCCAATACATCTGTTAGTCTTAAAAGTGCCACAGGACTCTCTGTTGATAATTGTAGAGAAGGCACCTTAAAAGCGAAAGCAAAAGGAAAACGACAGCCGGCCCCAGTGCGAACGTTCTTGGGGCCCCTCTGGCTCCAGCCGGCGAGGATCCTCAGACAAGGAGCCAAAGAAACTCAATAGTCCATTTGAAATGACTCATTTGCCAGCTGCCAGTGCCCGGCTCCTGTGACCGTCTGGAAACGCGATTCTGTTGGCAGTGGCCACAAGGAAGAACAAAGTGACATAATGGGGCTCACATAAAACTCGCTGATACCTTGGTTTGCAAGGCAGGAGAGGGGGTGGGAAAGGAAAGACCCTGCAGTTGGGCCTGGGCTTCTCTTTCCTCCCGAGGGCGGCAATCCTTTGGTAAGTGCTGTCTCCTAGACTCCTCTGTGCACTCACTGGCTCTAGAGACAGACACTTCCCTCTGTCACGCTGCCAAGAACACTTAAGCTCCGTAAGAATCGACTGAATGATCTGGCAGCCCTAAATCTCCGTGGAGAAACCTCTTGTTGATAAGATAGCTGGGCTCTGCTAGCTCCTGGGAGCCATTCAGCCAGACGGAACCGGCGGTGTCGTCACCATCTCTGGGAACGGGAACGCTGGCCGCACACGTAGGTGCCCACCTCAAATCCAACCGCTCCTATGGCCTGTGACTCAACCTCGGCCCACCTCGCCCAGGAGGGGCAGAAACAGCCCTTATGCTGGGGACCGGAGATGAGGCGAGATGGCCAGCTGTGTCCTTAGCACCCACTCTGATAGTGATGGAGCATTGAGGCAGCTCTGAGCTAGAAATACCTCCCAGGGACACCCCCTGAATCCCCAATAGCACCCACACCCCGCAGCCACACACCCCCACCCACACACTCCCAGCCACAGTACCTTGAGAGCCCTCCTCTGGTCAATGCAGGTGGGGTTTTGGCAGCACAGAACCTTGTCCTCTGTTAGAGTCCGATCATCTGGAGGAGGAGAAGGATGAAGTTAGCCATCACAGAGCGGGGCGGAAGGGACAGCCAATGGGCAGCGCTGTGCAGTCACACCCAGTCTGGATAAGAGCTGGTGACCCCCAAGGTCACGTCCCTGGAGCCAGCCAGCCCCAAGGGTCACACTGCTCCCATGGGGACAGCAGATCTCTGCTGGAGAGAGACTGTGCTGGGAAGCTCAGCTCCTGTGGCTCTGTGCTGTAATGACCAGCCTCGAGCAATGCAGGTACGTCTACACTGGGCAGAACGGCTTTAAAACTAGGCCTAGGTTAGAACACAGTTTGCAAACTGGTTCCAGCAGAGCCTGGCTCTGTTCACTTTGGCCAAACCCAGGGACCCACCCCCTCGGCACTGGGTGCGCCCACACTGGGGTGGAGTCCTGGGGGGAAGTGCTTCAGACAATGGAGCTAGAGCCCAGCATGGGAAGTGCCTTATGCTTCTCCCTTCCTCCCAGTTCTGAGCAGCGACCAACGAGCAGAAACCCACAGGGAACGTCGTCGGAAGAGCAGAGCGGCAGCAGCAAACCTCCCTGCACTGGCTGACTGTAACGGTCACACGCTTCCTAAAGGGCCCACGGCCAGAGGCACCCACACTCGTTAGAAAGTGCAGGCTTACCCGGTTTCTTTTCAAGAGGGAGGGGGCGGGGGCAGCTGGAGGAAGCGGGAGAAAAGGAACCAGACGCATGAGTACACCTGCCGGGGAGCTCTGTTCCTCACCACCAAGCAGTGTGCAAAGTGGGGCAGGAGCAACGGGAACGATTATCCTGCGTTCTGAAGTGCCACTTCCCAACCCGATACATGACACTGGAGACCCTCCAGAAACTTGAAACAACTCGGTCAGATGCTCCTGTCTTCGGAGCTCAGCGTAATGATCCTGAGCTGCCTTTAGCTACTGAGGTGGACCAGAAAGTGTCCACAAACCACAAGCGATCCCCAAACCTGGGCAGTTATAACTTCAAGGATAGATTTGTGCTAGTGGGACTGAGCCTGACTCCCAGCCGAGAGCCAACAGGCTGGGAGTTCTCAGCTAACTAGATATAACCGCAGCCTGCGCCTTCCCAAACCTTCGCCTCTGTCCGTCACTGTAGCACAGGGCACTTTCATGCCACCCATTACCCAGACGTGAGCCCAGATTGCAGCTCCCAGACTGTGCTCCAAAGGCAACTGTTGTCAATGCAGTAACCGGGGAAAAACAACCCTCCCCAAATCCATAGGGCAGAGATGAACCCATCTTTCACTCCAAGCCTCCAAGATTGGCCACATGCACAAAACTGAAGTCAAGTGACCAAATTTGATCAACATGGCGATGGGCTGACAGGCTGCTCCAGGGTCGGTCCCTCTGCAGCTGTCTTTGGTACTGGAGCATGACCCAGCTTATAACCCTCAGAATTCATTGCTGACGGACTTCAGAGACTTTACTGGCTACAATACTAAGCCCCTGATTATACAGAGACGAGATACCGTAAACCGATTACATCGGCTGCTGTCCTGCGAGGACTGACACGCCACAGCTCCTCTCCATTTACAACACTGAAGGTAGCCACACGGGCTCCCATTTAAGGAGTGAGATGAAGCATTGCCGCCTTCTCCTTTTAGCCCCATCTCTGGGCTTAGCGCTCCGCTCACCTACCTCCTCCCAGCCTTCTCCTCACACCCCACAGTCTCACTCCTTGCTCGCCCCTGCCAGCAGCTTCGCAGCCAGCTTTCCAGCGTGGAATTCCAGTTCTGGGCTGAGGTGGTGTCCAAGTGCCAGGCTGGGAGCGAAGGAGCAGCAAGTATCCTGACCAGCAACTTAAAGGGCGAAGGAGGCTCCATGCTTGTCTCTGCAGGGAAGCCCCTGAATTTGGCCTATCGTCTCTTTCTGCACATTGTCACCAATCTCTACGCAGCCGCTCACCTTTCCTCGGGGTTTGTGCTCTGCCCTCTGCCTCAGCTAGCCTCGTCCTTCTGCTCTGCCACCAGCATCTACTGCCAGACGTGCCTCCCTCTCACTCGGGTTCGCTTCTGAGTGAGGCAGGAGTTGCATCCCTGCCACCTCCCGCAAGAGGACGGTTTCTGTGCACCGGCGTGGGCAGAGACCTCATCCTTACTGTGCTCTGGTTCAGGTCAGCGTGAGTCTCTGCTCCCCCCACACCCCAGCTGCAGAGTCCCCTGTAGAAATCTGATCCTGCTGAAGGGTGCAGACCAGCAGGTAGATCCCAAGGTCAGAGGCCTTAGAAACACCCTGGACAGATCTCTGTCCCTGCCAGTCAATTAGGTCGCACAGCTGGGTGCTCCAGCCCTGTTCCAAATCTACCCCTTCCCCCAGCTACGCACCCCCTTCCCCTCTCCCAGAGCAGGGAGGGCTGGCCTCTGTGCGGGAGCAGAGGCAGAGCAGCGAGAGCAGCAGACAGGGTGCTCCGCACAGCTGCAGACGGGTCAGGACTAGGACACATGCTTAAAGGCTTCATGGGCCTCAAAAGGCCACTCTTACCAATGACACGCACTAGGTCCATCAACTCCTGGGAGAGCGGGGGGAGTCTGACCCCCCCCAAATCACACCAAGGGGCTCACCAGCAGGCACTGACCCCTACAAGCTGCAGGCTGGCGCTGTGTCAGGAACTGTGCCACCTTACAGCTGCTGGTCAGTGGTCACCCCACTGGCGCGTCTGGCAGAATTCACAGAGCTTCGCTAGAACCGACTCCCAGAATGCAACAGACTATCTATGCAATGGCACTGCCAGCGCAGTGCTCAACCCAGATCCGGGAGCTCTCTCACAACACAGCACTCTGGTACCAGGGCAAGGAGATTTCCAAACACACGACAACACTACCACCTCCCAGCTAGCAGCCTTTGCTGCTGGAAACCGCCCAGGGTAGCAGCGTGTCTTGGACTATACACGACTGGTCTCTTGTAGACAGACAGACACGCTGGGCATTTGTGACGGTCAGACATTTTCAAGTAATGACGGTTCTTCACAGATCCTCTACAGACGTTTGTCGTCTGAGATTCCAACTCCGGGTTATTACCCATGGCTAGTACCCAACTCATCCTTGGGACACTAGTTTAGAAAGCAAACACTCTCTGCTTTTATGCATAATGAATCTTTACACATAAACCAGACAGGGATGGAACTCAAGTGTAGGGTCCAGGGAAGGGTCCCCGGCTATTTTATCTTATACCATCTAGGCAGCTCTTGTGCTAAAAGCACCCCCCTGCTGCTGTAATGGCCCTGGCCTCAGTCAGAGAAGACTGCAGGGAAGTACGGACGGGCAGGGAGGCAGGCAATTCGGTCACCCACCAAGACAAAAAGAAAACAGAAACCCTCCTTTCACAAACCTTTTCCAGAAGGCGCTCCAAGCTCCAGGAGGCTGCAGCTCTCCTGCGAAGCGTCCCCGTAGCACTGAGATCATTTGGTGGGTTTTTCGAAGCCAGCAGAGAGAGAGAGACTTTTTTCAAAGCTGTTTCGGGGACTCAGTTCTGTGCCCTGAGTTTCTCTAATCGCTGTCTCTTTCCCACAGGGCCTCCCTCAGCGGAGGCTTCGCAGGGAATAAGGCAGTATCAGCATCTTAGTCAGCTTGGTTTACAGTTTGTATTGTTACACAAAAGTGGCAGAGGCAGCAGCGACGGGGAGGAGAGCTGCCACTATTCTGTCTCCAGCCCTGAGGAAGAGCCCAGCACTCACCCACTTGTGAAGGAAACCACAGGGACAGGGTCTTTCCTGCTCCGTTTGATCCAGTGCACCGAGTAGGAGCCGCAAAGGAGCAGGAGGAGAGTTTCCAAGGCGAACGCGTCAGGAAGGAGGAAGTGGAGCTGGGAGATGCAGACACAACAGTGCACTGAGGAAATGTGTTTATCTCAGACCGCGCCTGGGAACACAAGAACTCAGCAGCAGGAACTAAGCCACAGCTCCCCGTGCAGCTCTGCTGGGTGACAGGCCTGGGGAGGAAGGCAGCAAAGGGAGGTTGTGACCTCAGAAGAGACACCAAGCTCAGGCAGCCCCGAAAGGAGCCACAGAAGCATGTGTCAGAGAGGGAGAACAATGGCCAGGCTTTACTACTACTAACAATACCTTACATCCCACCTACAAGCTCCATGATCACAAGCCACAAATAAAGCCAGTCCCTGCCCCAAGGCGCTTACAGTCCCCGCTCGGATCCTGCAAACACGTCGGCTGTGCACACAATCGCCCCATGGAGCGCAGTGGGACTGCTCAAATGCATCCCCCTTTGCTAGGTCAGGGACTAGAAGACAGGCCTAGAGGAGACACGGCTCCCTGGGAGAGCCAGGGGAGGACGGGGCAGGCGGTCAAGGCAGGCGTCTGCGGAAGACGAATGGGAAACCCTTATTTCTGCGCAGAGATGGGTGTCTGGGAAGGCAATGCTGGGAGCTCTCCTGCCACCTCTGCCTCAGCGCTGTGGACCTGTCAGAGGAAGTGATGGGGTTAACGGAGGGAGAGGAGGAGTATCGAGGAGACACAGCTCAGGGGCTGGAACACTGGAGTTGCTCCTGCCTGGGGATGGGGACATAGTTGGGGTCGGGAAGGAATTTCCCTCCAGGGCAGATTGGCAGAGGCCCTGGGGGTTTTCCGCCTTCCTCTGCAGCGTGGGGCATGGGTCACTTGCTGGAGGATTCTCTGCACCTTGAAGTCTTTAAACCACGATTTGAGGACTTCAACAGCTCAGGCATAGGTCAGGGGTTTGATACAGGAGCGGGTGGGTGAGATTCTGTGGTCTGCATTGTGCAGGTCAGACTAGATGATCATAATGGTCCCTTCTGACCTTAAAGTCTATGGGCTTTCCTCGAAGAGCAGCCAGCTATTGAGGACCATTCCTCCCCGAGGAACACGGCAGCGGAGTCAGCAGTTAGAGACAGTAAAGCTGGTGACAGCAGGGCTTGCCCACCCTGGGCCCACAGCAAGCCTGAGCGCGAAGCGAGACCTACATTAAAACCTGCTTCCAGGCAGGGCTCCTGGGAACCGGGTCACAGGTGGGAAG